TGCATTCCTGTGTGTATGAATCAGACAACCACAGAGAACATTCATACAGAAACATGGCCAGGAACCCCCAGCCCACCATTATCGCTTCTCACTCAGGCAGGAACACCTGGTTCTAGAAAGTAGCCTAGAGTGTGATGAGGTGGAGGAGGACAAGAGGAGAGGAGCATGGTCATGGGGTGCCAGAGCTACAGCACAGGTGAGCTCTGGTGAGATCCAGTGTCAGCCAGGCAGAAAACTGGAACACTTGCAAAGGGTGGTTGGAGGTAGTGGGGAAGCGGGGGCAGGGTGGGGCAGGGGCGGGGGCAGACCATCTGAGGTGGGTTCCAAACATGTGAAAGGAGGCAAGGACCTCAACCCACTCTGCCTGCTCCTCCTCCTCCCTGAGGCAGCTTCTAACAAACCCAGTCTCGCGCCAACTACACTCATGTGCACCCCTCCGGCCCTGCCTTGCCCCAGCGGCACCCCATAGCCTAGAATCTAAATGATCTCTCTTCTCCTTAGGAAAGGACCATATTCCAGGGATGGGAGATGAAGTGGGTGCAGGTAGCCAAGGATGCTCACAGAGTGGACCCCAGCAAGCCTGGTCCATGTTGAAAGCTTGCTCTGTCACATGGCACAGGTATCTCCCTCCATCACGTGGAGTCAGGACCTTGTGGCACCCTCCAGAGTTGGTTACTGTGCAACTGTGTAAGTTTTCTGTGGAAAACCTTTGATGTTCACTGAGACTTTAGGAAATGATGACCACTCCCTTTAACCCTAAGCAGAAATATGTTATGTATAATTTATAATTTAAGGAAATAAATCATTGCTCTAAAGCTGTTGTCTTCTGTAACAGTAGATGTTACTGACTTGCCACCTTCAAGACCATCCCTGTCACTCCCTTCTCTGCCCACAGTCTCACTGCAGCCTCCTCTGGGACCACCATTCTAGCTAATAGGTGACAGAGGAGGCAGGGTGAGACCTGAACTCAGATCTCTTCTCCACACCCTGGACAGTGGCCCTGGAGAACCAAGATCATCTTCTCGAGCATCTCCTAGTAAGGAGCCTGGAAGGAAGACACTTCGGACCCTGGGCACTTAGGAGCCCTGGCGGATTGGCTTCTGTGTGAATCGCCTGAAGGAGCAGTTCCACTAACCCAGGAGCCAAACTTAGGGGACTGTGTTCTCCTGTAGTCTTAGACCTGCCTTTGGTCTTCGAGCCATAATGTGAAAATTGGCTCTAGCTTCCTGGATGTAGAATAACTTCCTATCAAACTTTATTAAAGTAGGGCCAGTCATATTTATCTTGCATTTTCTCTCTGGCAGTATTTTTCTTCTAATTGGGACTTGAGGGCGTCCCTCAGCCAAGGTACCTAGGGTTACAGAGAGTGGCCTCTCCGGGCAACCTGACATGCCCTAGCTCTCTCAGAAGCAGACCCAGGCCTGCTCATGGATTCATCCCGAGGGGCTCCTCTAAATCCATTTCCATCTCCCATGGAGATAATTTTCAGCTTGATGTTCGTCTGTAGGACTCTGACATTCTCCAACAGCCCAATGCTGTCGCTCCAGACAACGGGCAGCTACGTGGGCAAAGTTTTTCAAAGTCCCCCTCACCCCACCCGGATCATATCACTGGCCATCTGGCATCTCCCATCCCCACTGATTTCTGGTCACTTGTCCACTGGTGAACCCCAAATAGGGTAGGATGAGAGAGAATTGCCTGCCCACATGAGGGGCTCTTGCTGCTTGGTAACACTGTTGAGATTTAGGTTTTGATATCTCTGTCTGACCTTCGTGGGGTTGAGAGGCAGAAGCTACTGGCACCAATACATTTATCAGCCTACCTTAAACATTGCAGATTTTGTGAGTTACCTGAGCTGCCAGCCACTGGGGCTGGTCCCATCTCTTGGGCACCGCAGGCAGAAGCCCACACCATATAATTACATCACATGTTATTTGCACCCCTGTTTCTTATACTACCCCAAAGCCTCTCTGCAGACTCCCCAAAATTTTGGGATCGGCACAATCTCACGCTTCAGTCATCCATGGCATTTCAAGTGACCAGCGACTCAGGACTGGGACCTGGAGCCTGTGTTTGTACCTGCTGCCCCCGTACAGGCCGGTCAGCGTGGCAGGTAATTCTGTCCTTGACTTTCCAAGATAAATGGCCTTCCACTGTCTACACAGGGTTTTGTGTCCACAGCTGTTTTCATTTTATGTTGTGTCTGCGATTTCACCAATGTCATGTAATTTTCACATTTTCCCAAATTGAGCCGTTTTATTTTCTACTTCTCCGTTACTGCTACATCACAGGAATGGTCTGGGCCTTTTAAGAGGGCAGCGTTTTAAAGTTTTGAAAGACAGCTCCTACTTGAAAAGGAGTTCTGCAACTCATTTTCAGTGTTTGTGCTTTTTGAATATTCAGGCATGTGCTCCATCATTCACACGTAGCATTTCCATGTGACTGGAGGACAAATGGCCTTAATAAATCCCATTATTCTAAAGAACAATAAAAATAACAGGTTGGTGACACTGGAGCTGTGATAAATAACATTTTTTATTTTGCCATGTCATTATTATCTCTTTCCTCTCGTCTGGCTGCTGATAGACTGTCTTCCCGAGAACCCAGCTGGGGACTCCAGGCCTGCAGGGCAGACGGACAGCCAGGAGTCTGTCTTCAGGAATTAGGCAAATTGCTCAGCAAGCAGGGGCAATACAAAAAATATTCCCACCTCAGGAGCCCTTGAAATCCCCACCTCAAAGCAGCCCCCAGTCCCTCCTTTCTCCCCAGTGGAATGATCTGAAGTCCTGGATAACCACATCTCTTCTCATTTACTTAGGTATTGGCGATCCAAGCCCGAAAACCAAGAGTTGGTCACACTTGAGTGAAAAGAGCAACACGCAGGATATAGAAACAATTTGCTACGCTTTGAGGATGTCACAGAGGTTCTGAAGAGCACAGTCAGATGACAGCTTATTAAACTTGCACAGCCAAAAATGAATAAGTGAACTGTACAAAATTTGCCTTTAAAACCCCTTCATTTCTGCTTAATCTAGTTATCACATTAGCGTTGTATTTCTGAAAACCAACAACAGAACCCTGCACAAGAGAAGGTGTTAGAAAAATGCCCTATTAGGGACTCATTGTCTTATCTGCCCCAAGTCTTCAATGGGCAAAGGATTGGAGCATGTGTGGCTTGGGTAGAAAACCTACAGAATAGAATTCTAGGCCCAGAGCAAGGCCAGTTTGGCCCCACTAAGCCACAGGAGGTGGGCAATGCCCATGCTGAGGGCTCCTAGCATCTAATGCCTGTGGTCCCTCCATTTCTCTGAAAGTTTTCATCTTGATAGTTTGTTGAATTTGCATTTCCTCCTGTCAGTTACATTTCCAAAGGAGCTCTTCTGCTTACACATCTGATTTGTATAGTCCGATTTAATCTTTTCTAGAGAAAGTCTTTCCCTTTCATCTATGCCAACACTTACCAATACCACCCCTGCCCCCAGGCCTGGGAACAGCCCGTGTCCACTGGTGATAATAACAAAAGCTAACAGCCCCTGGAGCCCTCAAGGCCATGAGGCAGGCTTTGTTCTGAGCTGTTTGCAGTGTTAGCTCAGTTACTTCTCACATCAACCCAACTAAGCAGAACTCTGCGGGGGTCCATTTCACAGGTGAGGCAGCTGAGGCAGAGGGAGGCTACGATCCTGGCAGAGATAACAGGTAACAGGGAGCGGAGCCAGGTGCTGAGCCAGGTGCGTCCTGCCTCTGGAGACCACATACTCACCACTGGGCAGTGCACTCTCCTTAGGTGCCAGGGAGAGATCAAGGTCGGGACATCCTGGTTCCCACCTTGAGTGGCGTGTAGACTAGTTCTGAGATGCTTGGCCAAGTCTGCAGCTCCTCTGGGCTCCTTGGTTATTTGTCAGGAGAAGGCAGATCCTTCCCGGCATGGCACATGTGTCCAGGGAGGAAGTACGGCAGGGCAGGGAGCCATGCTGGGGTTGGCCTCCTTCATCACAGCCAACCCTCCTGCGGCTCCCCTTTCCTCTCTGACCACCCCCGACACCCCTTCTCTGATGCCACCCTCCTACTCCCAGACATGTTTGGATTTGCAGGATCTGGGAGGAGCTGAGCTTCAAAGGCAGGGAGCAGGGGTGAGGGCGTGGGGGATGGGAACAGGATCAGTGTCTTCCTGTGGGACTTCTCTGCCTCTCCCCTCTGCAGGCCCAGCCCTCGGTTCTCCCTCACAGGCTCTGTGCTGTGCTTCTGAGCACCCAGCTCCCTCTGCCCTTATTTTCCTGGAAACATCCCTGGCCTCTGAGAGTCACTCCTGCCCGATTCTCTCTGCTGTCTCAGTTGGCTCAGGCAGCTCTGAGAAAACACTGCAGATTTCTTAGCCATTTCAATTCTCTGCAGTGCTGGGTTCTCCAAAGGGTTCAGACTTTATGTGCAAAAGTGGAGGGTTTTGGGGGAAATGATGGAAGTCATTCACACTAGACAGAAAGTCTGGAATATGCCCAGCTGGAGTGACTCAGTGGTTGAGGGTTGAGTGTCAACCTATGAATCAGGAGGTCATGGTTTGATTCCCAGTCAAGGCACATACCTGGGTTTCAGGCTCAATCCCCAATGATTCTCTCTCATCATTGATCTCTCTCTCTCTCTTTTGCTCTCTCTTCCTTCTTCTCTGAAACCAATAAAAATATATTTTTTAAAAAAATCTGGAGTATGTCAGCTGAGAACTGTGACTCAGAATCCACACAGAACCTACACAGGTGCTCCCTCTTTATGGCCACTCCCACAGCCCCGATATAAGGGTCAGAAGCCAGAGTGGGACTCAGACGGGACCTCCAGCCTCTGGCCCTCACACCGCCCCTTGTTGTGGGGATGGCACCTGCATCACAGATCAAAGCTGCCTGTAGGGTTGAACACCCCCAAGCTATTCAGGCTGGCTTCCTCACATGCGTGAGCTCAGAGGATTGTAGCCATGCCCAGGGACCCACAGAGCCCAGCTCTCCTGCCAGCCTCCGGCCCGGTTAGCTGGGGAATGTGCATCTGGAGAGAAAGCAAAGGGCACACTGCAGCCTTTTCATGCATTTCCCTGGTTGATCATCAGCCAATCTGGAAAGAATCCACCACTGTGTTCACAAGACTACTAAGAAAACAACCCATTATTCTGACTTGTAGGAGAATCTAATGCATCACTTACTATTCAAATGCTATTCAGTCCCTGGATCCAGGAAATGGCTTGAGAGGACGTTGGCGTCCCACTAGGATCTGTGGCCAATGCAAAATCAGGTTTGATATTTTAAGCACTTGGGGATACCCTGGGTGCAATATGGAAACAATGAATTTCAAACAGACAGATTTAAAACTAGGAGGAGGATGTTTAATAGCATACTAAGGAGGAGAAGTTAAAAAAAATAAGAAAATATAGACGGCTTGGAAGCTCTATAGAGGCACTGGAACATCGTATGAGACGCCCAGAGAGGTTAACATGCAAACCTAAAGGGCAGGAAGAAAGGCTGCCTGTGTGAGCAGGACAGGCAGTGGCTGGGCCCCACAAAGCAGCTCCTATTTCCAGGGAGATCACAGCACAAACGGTGTCTCATTAGCCTCAGATGAGAATGCAAAGCGGCCGAGACAATTGTAAAGAGGGAGATGAAACAGTTGAAGAAAAATTCCGAAAGCTCCATGTGAAACAAGAAGCATGGCTTGTGAGTCCAAGGTCCTTTAAATAACTCAAGGAGGCACGGCCGTGAAAGGCATGCATGAGAGGCAGGACCAGGTAAACACTGGCAAGGACCCTGATAAAATGAATGGTCACTCACCCCAGAGGCACCTTGGGGAAACGAGTTCAGTGTGACCACAACAAGCATAAGAGCCTCAAAGGAAGAGTTGTTTAGGGTCATTCTTCAGACTGAAGGGTGGCCAGGTGAGCCGGAACAGGTGTGACATTCTGAAGGTGTAGAGGAAGTGAAGTAGCACCTACTTCAGTTCTCAACATGTGTGACCTCTGTTAAAAAAATAAAATTCTCCTGACTGCATGTACAGACCTAATTGGCTCTCTTACGTGATCCATTTATGGGCAGCACCCCATCTAGCTGCTAGAAGGGCTCTCTCTAGGGTGGTACAGAATGGTCGGTTTTTATACAGGAAGAAGGGTGGGGCATGGGAGCTATGAACAAAAGCCAGATAGGATGATACTTGGGCCTGGGACCCTTTTCTTAGGGGAAAGAGAAAGGTTATCATATGTTTAATACCAGGTATTAAATCTAAGTTTGGCATCATGGCGTTTTAGCCTGAGTGATGCCTTTTGGGGCCTGGAAATGTAAAACTGTTGAAGCTGCCCATGGGAGGTGCAGAAACCAGAGAACATTCCAAGATTGATGAGCTGGCACACCTCACTAAAATCTTGGTGTAATTAATGAGAAAATTCATAAAAAGCAATAGTGCAACCAACACTTGCTTTGTCGTTTATGATGTGCTTAGTTGTAAATGGCCACAATTTAAAATCACATGGGCAAAAGCAAATGCAAACAAGACTACAGAGTGGTTATGTGTTCAGTAGCCCCCAGTGAAGGAGCGAAGTCTGGAGGGCAGCAGCCTTCAACAGCATCATCTGGAACATTTACAACCATAATACTGGGTTCACCAGCCCTCCCTCCCTCCCCCACCCCAGCCCCCAGCCCAGGACTGAATGCCTGGTGGATACTCACACTGCCTCCGCTTCTATGGTCCTCTGAGACTCTGCACATGGCTTTTTATCCTGAACATTTTTCATGGTCACTGGCATGGCTGACCCTGGATGAGGGAGTCAGCTGAGCTGGGGTTGCCCATAGCAGTGGCATCTCTCCATCCACACATCATGGGTGGTCCTTGCTCTGTCCTGTGCTCTGAACTCAGAGAGCAAGCCCCTGCCGCTTCAGCATCCCCAGCAATGAGTGTTCATTGTGACGGATGAAAGGGATTCTCAGAGCTCTGGAAGTCTGCATACAGCCATTTCTCCTCTTTTTCTTCTATAGTTGACAGTGTGGAGTGTCCATACCTTACCACACCTGTCTGATGAAGCCACTGTCAGGAAATACCCATTCATACAGCACTAATACAGGCTCCGAGTTTCCACCTAGTGACCTGTCATTGTGAGGTCAGGAATGAGAAGGGGCCGTGTGTCTGAGACTAGGAGGGACAGTATTTCTGACACAGTGGGCAGGGGCACTGCCATGAAAGTTTGCGTCCCTTGGGTGGTGGCTAGCGATGCAGTGGGTGCCCTTTGCTTTAGAACCAGGCATCCTGTACCACAGCTGCTCCTGGAATGCTCCTGTCCACATCATTTTATGGTTTGATGAGATTTTTTTTTTTGACAAGCAGTTTTGTCCTCTAGATTTTAGTAGAACTTGCCTCCACTTGTTTGGTTCTCCCCTCAGGACACCATGGCCCAAAGGGAAAGAGATATCTGAGGAGGAAACCACGTGGCCAGGAGGACAGCTTCAGCGGCATCGCCATGATCAGAGCAGGGGCCGGATTCCTGGTGCATTTCCTTTGCCAGGAGAGGCAACAGTAAGCGCAGCTCTGCCTCGGCCACTGCACCTGCTTGTACAGTTCACATTAAAACCTGGAACGCAGCAAATCCCACTTTCACAATGGCTTTTCAGCGCTGGAGCCTGTGAATTAAAGGCCTCCATTGTTTGCAAGGAATAATTTCCTTGCCCTCTACCAGCTTCAAAGAAATGCGAAATCTTCACTCACTTTTTCTATTGATTCCTTGTTGGATCAGATTTAACTTTTGTTTTTGGATTCCCTATTTGAAAACAAAGGGCAAACAGATACATTTTAAGCACTTTATGTGTAGCTTTGTTTCAGTTCAGAATTCTCATTGTGCTTCTACTTCCTTGTTATAAAGATTACTAGGCAGTTGGGGGAAAATCAAGGAATTACCATAAATTCTATTCACTAAATACCAACACTTTCAGTCAAATTATCTCAATTGTAAAATACTTTGGCATACCAAGTAATTATATGCAATTAAAACCCCACTGTTCGTTTACTTTCCCTTGTTAATTTATAATAGAATACCTGTACTCAGGAAAATGAGGAGATTAGCAAGCACTAGAAATCAAAGACATCTCTCAACACCGCAAAAATAAAGCCAAAACTTCATCCTACTCATCGAGCACTTCAGATTTCAGATGAAATTATTTAACACTCCCCACTCTAATGAACTGTAAAGAATCTGGAGAGTATTTCCTTGAAGACAGAATGTTCTCAGGCCCTTTGTAAATACACTGAGGAGGTTTCTCCCTGCCTGTTCTCCACCCTCACGCATGACTCATACCTGGGGGCAGGATAACCCAGTTTCACTCTGGGACACACCGCATGGCTTCTCACCTGCCTCCTGTCCTACCGTCCTGCCACGGGCAGCTGCTGAATCTGCACTTAAACCTCCCTTTAGAGATTCACCCTGCAGCAGCCCCCATGCCAGGCAGAGAGCCCAGGCAGACACTAAGGTATTTCCCATGGCTTGGCCCTCGTAGACCCCTCTTCGCGCTCCCACCCACCTCCCCAGCAGTGAACTCCAAATCCTAGCTCTTCTTGTGACAAGTGTTTGCACTGGGACCGGCAAAACCTCCAGGGGCAGAGCCCCTGCCCCAGACAGAAAGCCAGACTTCTGTGTGACATTTATTGATGGGAGTTAAGGGACTATTTGTCTCATGAACATTAGTTTGCAACCAATCAGACAAAAAGGAGACACTTTTTTAGGGAAATTTTGAGAACTTAGATCATGCTTGCTAAGATACAGTCCTGATTTTTGGGTGGAGGGTTCTCTTGGGACTCGAGACATTTGGTGCAAAAACCCGGAAAGTACCTGGCAAACCAGATGAGCTGCTCACCTTTACATATCTTGGGGTTCAGTTGCCCATGTGACCATGCATGGCAAGGAACCAGGGGTGCATGTGCAGCTCAAACCATAACTCCTACACCTAAGAACAGTTATCCCCAAACCCTAACCCAACATCTTTTGTAGACTGACCTTGCGGTTTAGTGCATTGTTAGGCACTGGTGGGCCAATCCGCTCACAAACAAGGCCATGTGCAGAAAAAAGATCTCTATGTATACATGCCTGTTTCACACAACTTTATAAATAAACTAGAGGCCCAGTGCACGAATTCATGCACCAGTAGGGTCCCTCAGCCTGGCCTGCAGGATCAGGCTGAAACCAGCTCTCCGACATCCCCCGAGGGGTCCCGGATTGTGAGAGGACGCAGATCAGGCTGAGGGACCCCACCGGTGCACGATTGGGCTGGGGAAGGACGTGGGAGGTTGGCCAGCCGGGAAGGGACTGTGAGAGGGCTCCAGGGTATGTCTGGCCCATTTCGCTTAGTCCTGATGGGCTGGACCCCAACAGCAAGCTAACCTACCAGTCGGAGTGTCTTCCCTCTGGTGGTCAGTGCACATCATAGCTAGCAGTTGAGTGGCCTTACACTATCATTAGCATATTATGCTTTGATAGGTTGAACAGATGACTGGATGACCAGACACTTAGCATATTAGGCTTTCATTATATAGAATTAATATTATTTGCCTTCTTGTTCTTTGACCACTTCATCACCAATTCCAGTATCCAATTTCACTGAAGAGGCATCAGGCAATTCTCCCACTGGCAATAGGAGGGAAACCAATCTGTTGGGAGGGCCTACATTGCTGAGGAGAACATTGCTTCCACAGGTATCCTTTCCTGCCATATTTGAGTCTTCTGTTGTGGCAGGAAGAGGGGTCCAAGCAGATGAGCCTGCTGCAAGGTGGTTCTGTCCTGTTGCAGTGCAAGGTCAGGATACACAAGGTGCTGCCCCACATTCAGTCCAGTCCCTGCTATCACCCTGGCCCAGGATACCAATGATTACCCTTTATGCTGTTTTCTGTGAGTCTTATGGCCACTCATCTCTGAGGGGCACCTGCCCTCCAGCTCCTACAAGGAACAACGTGGGAGCTGACCCTTCCTGACCTTCAGTACCGAGAGGAACATTTACAGCAAAGGTCAGTGGGGGCTGCACAGGCATGAGCTCTTAGTAAGGGCTGAGAACATGCACAGCAAACTGAGAGGTGAAATTATAGATATCACCTTGATATTTTTATAATGACTGACTGGAATATGAAATAATCAGATCTCCAAAGCTCCAATGAAGCATTTTTTTATTGGAAGCCAAATCTGATGATTTATGTTTGGGAAAAATCCTTCACATCAAAGTTTATCAACATTCTCAAATCTAATTTGTAATAAAAAAACACAGATAAACAAAAGTAGCATGGACATGAGTTTCAACTTGACCCACTGCATGTCTGTAGAACAACTTCACAGATCAGAAAAGACATCATTGCCCTCACCTGCTAAGTTGGCACCATGCTGTGACCCTCCCACTGTGGTCAGGGCTAATTAGAGGGAGAAAATCTCAAAAAGAGTAAAGCATTAATAATAATTGTATTATAATAATATATAGCAACTTTTGCCATTTTGACATATCTCACTGCCTACAGGAAACAGAATCACCAAAACTGTTTTCAGTGAGACTGAGTACCAGGACCCTTCAAAAATAGTATGTTCTGTTAAATATATGTCATGTGAGCATGGCCTGTGTTCTAACTTAAAATAGAGATGAGAACAGAGAACATTTCCTGAAGCTAACAAGATGTGGGACAAGCCTGGAACTGTGGTTGAGCCCACTGAGTGGTGTCTGCTTCCCTAGCTTGTGGATGCTGCACAGCTCTTACCTGGAAGAAGTGAAGTGTTTGAGATCCTCCCAGAGGAAGGGAACAGCTCACCGTGAATATTTCGGTCATTGACAAGCCAGTTAAACAGTGTTACCGATTGTTGCCCATGTCCTATAAAACCCAGCCCAATGTGTCTGTTCAATCTAGTGGTCCTTTTCATCCCTCTTCTGGCTGTGATTCTAGAACACTACCCAACAGAACCTTCTGCAAGGATGGAGATGGATGTCTTCATCTACACTGCCCACTACATTGGCCATTCGTCTCTTGTGACTTATGAGCACTTGAAATGTGCCTTGTGACATTGAGGGACTGCTTTTAACATTTAAGATTTAATAGCATGTATGGCAAGTGGCTGCCATATTGGACACCACAGTTTCCTACTTTGAATAAGCAGTTGGAGCAAAGGTAAAAAAATGGCACTTTGTAGTTAAAGAAATGCTGATAAACCAGTATCTCTTTTTCAGCCTACCTAAGATACATTTGCAGTATTTGTTTTTATTCTTTTCCCATTAAAATACTCAGTGTTAGTGAGCATATAGAGAGGTGGAAGCCTCATAAAAATATATATTGATACAAGTTTGGGGATGCACTTGGCAATATTTATCAAAAGCATTTAAAACATATATATTCTTTGTCCCAGGAATTTTATTTCTAGGACATATCCTGAAGAGCTAACTAAGGTCTCAGACAAAGATTATGGTACACAGTTAGCAATTATAGTGTTACTTAGAATTATTTTAAAAATCCAAAACCAATTCAATTGCCCAAGAATAGAGAAATAATTAAATGAATTAAGTTTATCCAATAAGACAGCATATTTCTAAAAATATTAAATGACATTGAGAAATATATAATTTTAATTGAAAAAATTCTGGAAACAAAACAGTATATAAAATATGATTTTTAGTTTATTTATATCTGTACATGCAAAAGGACAGAAGGGAAATAAGCAAAAGTATTGCCTATGGCCATGTCTGAGTGGAAAGATTACTTCTCTTTTACAATTCTCTATATTTTCTTAAATGCGCCTAAATGATTTTTACCTAAAGAAAAAAATCAATGGCATTTATTCACTTAGTCCACCCATGCATCATTCAGAAGATGCACATTTGGAATAGTAAATGGTACCCAGGGAGTCGAGTAGACAGCTCTGGGCTCTTACTCTCTCAAGCCATTAGGGTTCCACTTAGGTGCATTCTTAGCGTAATAAATTAATTGACTATTGGCTAAATGTGTAGATCCCTGGCGGATATTCCGTTCTTTCCCTGGTGTGTTCAGCTCTGCAATGTGTCCCATGGAAGCTCTCTGGTTCCAAGAGAGAAATGGCATGGATTCTGACAGGGCAGGATACTCACTTATTTAAAATTATAATAGTTTCAAAACAACCCAAGGACAGGAGTTGATGGACTTTGAGAATAACTACCCATGCTTTGTAGCACGGCGCACATTTGGAAGCTCTGGGAAGTGGAGAAAGAGGCTCTCTCCGTGTGAATCCAGGGCCTCCAGCCCTCTTGTCTGAGGGCACCTACAGCTTGCAGTGAGCCCGGCGGCTGGGGACTCCATGTGCTTTCCAGAGCATACAATCCAGGCCCTTCCCTCTGGGAGGCTGGGCATTAGCTCCAAAATTGAATTTTATGCAAACTTGTGATGACTAACTAACTCAGTGAACCATGTCAAATTGTAAACTTTATTTTATTTTTTATCAGCTGCTGCATAATTGAAGGGGAGGAGATGCCCAACTGACATCCCGCCCCAGGCATCAGCCTGTCTTGCCAGAGCCTCACCACCCAAGACAGGTGTCAAGAAGGAGGTGGCTTCACACTGAGGTGGTGCCCCCGTCCTCTGTCAAACTCCCAGCATTCTCCTGCTGTCACACTGCACTCTCCCTCCCTGCTCCATCAGCCCCTCCTTCCCATAGAAAGTAAACATCCCTCCCCTTCAATAACTGATAAAAACAAACTTTACGATG